GCCACACGACAACCAGCACTACGTACCTGTGGGATGGAAGGAGGATGAAGACCCACTATTTCACAAGCACTAAAAAGCAACACTGGTAACTCCGCGACTCGCACTACTCCTACGCAACAACAACACCGACAACTACAACACCTGGTACCTGGACAGCTGCTGTGGACAGCACATGGTGGGGTCCGTCCGATACGTTTCGAACCTAAGCCGCGCCCCCGCAACCTACGTCACCGTCGCCAACAATCATCAGCTTCACGCCAATGCACAAGGCATCGTGGTCCTGCAAGCACGAGACAGCAACACGCACATCTCGTTCAACGACGTGCTCTACGTCCCGGACCTCCGCTTCAATCTTCTCTCGGTAGGACAACTTCGGAGACACAAACCAAGTCGCACAAATACCTTGGGCGGGCTCGGTCGATCAACGACATCTACGTTCTGGACTTCGACATACCAAGCTGTCAGGCTTCGTCCGACAAGCTCGTGGATCTCGTCCCCCTTGATTTCCCTTTCATGAACCAAGAGTCGTGGGAGCATCCAGACGGAAGACCGTGGATTCGCAGAAGCCCTCATCCCCGCGAAATCAACCTGCACGAACCCGACATCAACGACCTCTGCACCACCTGTCACACGCCCACGGCAAGCCGCACGGAACAAGTTGAAAGGGACTATGTGGGAATCCAGGAAGCAGTGAGCGCCGAGGCAGAACCCACTGGCATGACTGAGGAGGAATTAGCTGTAACCACTCACCGTATATTCGGAGAAGGAAACGAAAGATTCGGACAATTGCCCGTCCCGCGCCCAACGCCGCGCACAGAAACACTCCGCTTCATTCTTGAAGCTAACACCGGCACCTTCGACGAAGAGAATCACCCGCGTCCGTACACTCACGAGGTCTACCGCAGGGAAATTGACCCCGCCTGGAAAGATCCTGGCGCAGAAAGAGAGCTGAGCGTTAAGGAAGAAAGAGACAAGGCCAAGGCCGACAAGAAACGACAGGTAGGCGAGGAGCGCGTAGCGGCAGGCTGGAGCGAGGAATCAGCACGACGTGGCGCATGGGGAGACGAAGATTACGAGCCGGAAGAAGGCGCCACCTGGGGATCAGCCACAGGCGCTTGGGGAGCTAGCGGCATGGTCACCACAGAAGGATGGGGCACCGTGGAAACACCTGAAGAAGATCTGACACAAGAAGAACTACGGGAAGCAGAGCGGGAGATGCGAGCTGAGCGCGGAGAAGAATCTCCACGCGTTGTCGTCCCACTCGGCCGGCCCCCTCGCACTCGCTCACCTCCCCGCTCACCTTACCGTTGGGAAAGCACCTGGACGGCGATTGAGGAGGGGAATGTACCACGAACCCCGGCGCGTGACACACTTGGTCCAATCTCACGTCCAGATCCGTTTGCTCTCCTCATCGAGGGCACAAGGACGCGGCTGACTATCATCCCCGATCGCGAATTCCTTGCCCTCTACCTCACGACGACACTTGCAGAAGGAAAGACAGCAACAGAAGCAGAGACAGAGAAGGCCGAGGACGAAGCAGAACCAGGAGAAGAGGAAGAACCCCCACTCCAAATTCCGCAAGAAACAGAGGCGGAAGCAGCAGAACACCGCGCTCGCTACATGCGCACCAGCAGTATTCGCGCAGAAGACGACCTCTGACATTAGCGGTTCGGTCACCCCTCGCGCCAGACCCTTGCCAACAGTCTCCGTGCCAAAGTTTTCCTCCAAGGAGCACTTCTACGCCCCGACGGCACTGAACCACACAACACCTTACACCCGCTTACTTGCATCGTTTGCCCCACAGCGGCTCTCTCCCACAGCGCCTACCCCTCTCTGGAACCAAGTACCAACCGCTACAAGAAGCTGCAAAAGGTGTACAGCGACTTCATCGTGCTTACCTGCGACGGCCTCAACGGCGAAAAATACACGCCGACCTTCATCGACGCACACTCACGCTACGTTTGGATCGCCAACGTCGACGCTCGCTCCAAGGCCCCATAAGTTTTTCGCATTTGGCTCGCACACGCACAGCGGCAATCGGGGAGAAAGCTAAAAATTTGGCAGAGTGATGGCGCCAAAGAGTTTCGCAGCCACAAACTGGAGAATGTTCTCACCGAGAAAGGGATCAGACATGAGATTTCCCTCCCCTACGCTCACCAGCAGCAAGACGTCGCAGAAAGAATCAACCGCACCCTCATGACAAAAGTGCGCGCTCTAATGAATCAGTCAGGCCTGCCCAAGAAATTCTGGCCCTACGCCATAAATCACGCGGTGCGCCTGCACAACCTCCTCTCCACCACAGCCAACAAAGACAACCTTTCTCCACACATGAAGTGGACTGGCACAAGGGGAGACCCCTCCATGCTGAGGGTTTGGGGATGTATGGTGCAAGACCAGCCGACCTCAGCCACGATCGGCAAGTTTGCCCAACGAGCACGTTGGGGAATCCATCTGGGACTCAGCAACGAGCACAAGGGTTGGCTCATCCTCGACATTGACAGCAAGGAGATTGTTCCCGCGCGCGATGTTCTCTTCTACGAACGACTCACCTTGAAGCAGTGGATCGAGGATGAACGGCGCAACGAAGCTCGCGGCTACGTCAACAGCGACCGTAGCTTTGCATCCCCAGAGGATGCAGCAGCAGCACTTGACTGCGACGACGCAGACGATCATCCCGGTGTTCCGCCTTGCCCGCGCACGGACGACGACAACGATGGTAGTGACGACGCGCCCGCGCCCGGACCATCCCGCCGCCCAGCAGAACCAAGCTCAGCCTCACCTGGCCACGAGAGCGACGATGACGATGTGGTGGAAGTCCCCTCCACCGACACCACGGACACCACGAATGTGTCTGGTTTGCAACTTCACGACCTTCACACGTCGATTTTTCCCCGCGTCCGCGCCGTCGAACCCAAGAACCCGCGCCAGGCCTTTACAAGCCCTCACGCAAAGGAATGGCGTGCAGCAATGGATGCAGAACTCAAGGCGCTGGAGTCCCGTGACACCTGGGTTCTCGTCGATCGTGCAGCAGTGAAGGGGAGAAGGGTGCTAAGCGGAAAATGGGTATTTCGTCTCAAGACTAAAGATGACGGAACCATCGAACGCTTCAAGGCACGATGGGTCGTACGCGGATACGACCAGCGCCACGGCATCGACTTCGACCAAACCTTTGCTCCCGTCAGCCGCCACACATCGGTCAGGATTCTACTCGCCATAGCCGCCGCTAAGCATCTGCCACTGCGACAGATCGACGTAAAGAACGCGTTCTTATACGCGTTGGTGGACGCAACCATCTTCGTGGAGCAACCACACACTTACGGAGAAGGAGACCCCAGGGTGTGCCAGCTAAAGAAATCCCTCTACGGGATCAAGCAGGCGCCTCGACTTTGGCAGCAGCACCTACACAAAATCCTGCTCGAGATCGGTTTCAGGCAGCTGCCGCACGACCCGAAGATCTACCGCCTCCACTTTAGCGGGGACTACATCCTCCTCACCGTCTACGTCGACGACCTGCTGTACACTGGCACCTGCAGCAAGCTTCTTAACCAGTTCGAGGAGAACCTGGCGAAGCGCGTAGACATCACCATCAACCACAACGTCACCCAGTTTCTGGGCCTGAACATCACCTACGCGCCAGAAGCAATCCATCTGTCAGCCTCCAAGTACGCAGAGCAGCTGGGGGAACGCTTCAACATCTCACCTGCACCACTCTTGACTCCCTATCGCTGTCCCAGCTCCAACTACAAACCAGACAACAAACCCCTGTCCCCCGTAGGACTTCAACTATACCAGCAGCAACTGGGTTGTCTGTTGTTCGCCTCTGTCACATGCCGACCCGACCTTTCGTACATCGCCAGCCAACTGGCACAGTACTCTCGCAAGCCAGTAGTCGAGAACCAGCTGGACCTGGAACGCGCCATGTAGTACTTCATCTCCACACCTGACATCGGGCTCTCCTACTCCACGCTGACGACAACCTCCTTCAACCTCAACGGCTACGTGGACGCAGACCACGCCGCTGACTCTGCCAATCGACGGTCCCGAACCGGCTTTGTTTTCCGCCTGGAGCCTACTGGTCCAATCTCCTGGAACTCGCGGAAGTAGGAGATTGTTGCCCTGTCATCGGCCGAAGCAGAATACCCGACAGCAGCAGTTCGCGAAGGCCTGTACCTGCAGGAGCTGCTACAGGAGGCGAAAATCCCAACTTCGCCCACCTTTCGCCTTCACTGCGACAACCAGAGCGCCATCAGGATCGCAAATAAGCCAGGGTTCGTGAACCGCACGAAGCACATCGTGTTGCAATACTTCTTCGTCAAGGACGAAATCGACCAGGGCAAGGTTGACCTCGCGTACTGCCTGACAACTGAGATGGCAACCGACTTCCTCTCCGAGCGTCTGCCACGTCAGAAGTTCAAACAGTGCTCCGACCTCGCTGGAGTAGTCAAGCGAGTCAACACCCCACGCGTCCAGTAATGAAGGGGAGTGTTTGGATACGAAGTTTTATGAGAAGGCATTCCTGTATGCTGCAGGAGCCGACTCTACCGAGTACGAAGACGAGGAGTCAGAAGAATCGAAGCGACACAGCAACCGTCTGACCAAGACCGATGCGGGAAAAGGCATTTGAAATGAAAAGAGCGGGAACAGGTTTTGAAACCGAGTCCCGCACCGCACGGTTTGAATTTGAATAAAGGAATGTACCCCTTAGAGTACATGGCTAGTCTAGGTCGTTTCGCATTCCTTTGTATTTCTATATAAACCCTATGTATGCATGCTACATGATTGCAACATTAAAGCAAAACACTTTTCCAGTAACCAATCCAACCGGGACCAGGGACGGTAATCCAGCTAGTACCAGTACCTGAAAAAGCCATTCCCTCTAAGACACGTCTGCTGTTTCCTTGAAAAGCATCAATCCAGAGCCCAACTGAATCTAGAGGTATCACAGCCTCAGATACGGTATCTTGTCTCTTGTGAACTGGGGTTGAGCAGCAGTTGAAGGGTCATTTAAAGTAGGTGGATTCAGGGTCACCTTTGATCTTGTCTGGGTACGCATGGACCCAACTCCTAAACTCCATAAACCTCTTCATTTTCTCTGGCGGAGAAAGCGCCTTCACAAGTTTCCCCTCCTCTCCGAACCCATGTGACCCAGTGGCGTATGCATGCACTCTCACACACCTGTCGATCCGTCGAGCCTCGTACTCCCGAACCGCAGCAGCCACTGCAGCAGGCTCGTCAAACACATCCTTGACGTCAGCAAGGCACATGGACAGCTGGTGTGCATCTTCGAATGCCATCTGAGCCCCTTGCCCTGGGCCAGTGTGCATGGCATGTGCAGCATCCCCCATAAGAACAACCCTGTTACCACACTTGGGGTCACTCCAAGAATCCTTCGGAGGAGGCCGGTCCACCATATACCGCTCGTAGATGTTACCGGGGTCGGTGACGGTAACCGCCTGAAGCACGGTATGCCAGATGTCATGGCCTGATGGGTCTGCAATGTTCTTGCTGACGTGGCACATCAAACGGTCATTGACTCCTGGTTTCCCGAATCCCCCGAAGGGTGTGAGTTTGAGCTCGGACTTCAGCTTGCTATCAGGGTCAAGAACACGAACCTGCGATTGGGAAGATGGTTTGGGTAGAGCGAATTCCAAAAGTGGTGAAAAGCGATGCATAGGCTAAAAACGCCATGGCAGGATCTGCTGTTGGTTAGGTTGAAACAGTGTAGAAAAGGAAACAACAGGTTCAGAGGAAAGATGTGCAAAATAATTACACCACCGCATGCTAAATTAGAGCATACTTGCCAAAAGGTCTTCCCGTGGCCGATATCAATCAGATACATTTGGTAACCCATAACCTCATCCATATAAAAAAGTAACTCCTCGTGTTCTTGTGGGTACACTCTCGCACTCGGCGGATTCGGCACAAGTGCGTTCCAACCAATCTGCTCCAGATACCGTGGCGAGTCTCCAATCATCTGATTTCGCACAGCTGATCGCACGCCATCCGCTGCGACCAGAATCTTCGCACGAACCACCACCAGCTGACGCTGGTACTGCTCCATCGCTCCTCCTGACTTCTTGGGGGTTTCACCTCCTCCTGAAACGGAACAGGTGGAATTTGTTTTGTCAGTTTCGGGAGTCGAACCCACAACCTCAAACACCACATCAACCGCTTCCACGTCCCCCTCTCCAGAACTATCATTGCTGCTTTCCGATCCACCAGGCCTTTCCGCAACCGAGACTCCTGCGACAACGGGATAATACGCGACGACGCGATGTCCGTGCATGATAATCTCGGGTCGCGTTAGAGACGAGGCAAGCACCTCTTGGGCTCGGGCCCACCCCACGGTTGGCTGGTCTTTAACCACTTCCTTCACAACCCAGCCGTCGCGATTTTCGCTGGCTCCTTTGATAGTAGCAGCATCGTTACTGGCAGAGCCGCTACTATTACTATGACCGCCGCTGGTAGAAGCAGGTGTATTACGAGCCGGATTAACTCGAATAACGGATCTAACTTTTCTGACCATTGCACCGCAGCCAATCACAGCGTCGCCCCGGCTTTAACCCTTCGAGCGCCTTGGCGCCGTTGGGAAACATTGCGAAAATCGTGCCGGTTTGGGAGCGGGAGTAAGGCACGGCCTCGAAGAGCATGACCGACTCAAAGCCTCGCTCCTGCAGGCCGACTGCCAGCGCGAGACCGCCAAGGCCAGCCCCCGCTATAGCGACGTCGACGAATATTTCAGGCTCGGGAAGAGGCGTCACTGGACTTATATCGAACGGAACCATTGCGAAAAGCGACGTCTTCGGTATGGAGTCGAAGGAGCTGTGTCAGCGATACGGGAGAGAGTAACCAGAGCTGAAGTGGAACAGGTGTTTGGAGTTACTGAAGCTGGAGCATATGTAGTCAGTTGCTGGATTGACGATATCACTGATGTTGCAGACAGAAGCATATATGACACTGTTCGCTCAGAAACAGTATCTGCAGAATACACCTGTTCTCCGGTATTTCCACACCCCCTACCCTCGTTTTTGCCAGACACCCTATACGGCTTGAGGATCGATGAGACGGACACCCTGACACTACGGGTCTATCAGTAAAGAGCCGTCAGGTTCTGGCCATTCGAAACTCTAATTTGTAATCAGGGTGAGCGGGGAAAATTCCCAGTGCCATAATGTTAGAGTGTTAAACTCGCATTGAGGTCGTGTCTTATTACCTTCGAAACTCCCGCGTTCGTTTCTAACTACCTTTGAAATCAGATTTTTACGAGGGTAGGTACCCCAGGGCGTGAAGATAGGGGGTGTGGAATTATCGCAGGATAGGTGTAGTCGTAATGTTATTGCCCCCACCAACAAGTTTTTATTTAGCAGCTGGTAAAAAAAGTCGGCAATACGAGGGTCAGCCATTGCCACACCCAAGATCACGGAATAGCCGCCTTCACAGGGCTGCCGCATCCGATTGGTCGGCTCTACGGATGGGATAAACCTTTGAATATGGTGCGAAACAGAATGGGGAACCTCTAATTTCGCCAAATATCTGGATACAAATTTGCTGGGCTTTGCCTACCACACCATGGAGTGTACGATTTCCTCAAGTAGAAACTGACGAAATATGCGGAACACGGTATCCAGCTCGCATATCGTTTTCGTGAACCTCGTTTTCGCTCACTACACACACACAAGCGGCACTGAGACCCGAGCCTGAAACCAAAGAAGGGGCACACACGGCACAATGACAGCCACACATTGGGCCAAACCATCGCAACCGTCAACCGAGATCGAAGCCGTCGTTTCTCCACAAAGACGAGATAATGGCCGTTGTGGCCTGCTGTCAGCATCTCCCGCCTTCGGGGTTTCAGTTTCGTTTAGCAGCCGAAACCACAGACCTACCTACAGGAACCGAGACTGATCGGAACAAATCCGCATGGCTAAGGGGAACAAATGTTGACTCATCACTCAATTTAACCACTCTGTAAGACTCTGTATTGCACCAAGCCACATCCAACCCTTCCGAGAGTGCGAATCTGAGGGTAGCTGAGGGCTTGACCGCGTGAGACACCAGCACAAAATCTCTCTGCAGAATTGTTCAAATTTCATGGCCGATTATGCGGGCCCTAATTCATCCAAACAGGCTTCGGGCTTCATTACTACTCACGACTCAATAGGTTGTTCACGCCGGTACGAGCAGCTCCCAGGGGACAATCCGACGTTCAGCACTATCCAATTTGGTTCGACAATGGTAGTACCTATAGTGATTGTGTCAGACTCTTGAATAGATTGACGATACCCTTGTTTCAGCAGTGTTCAGACATCCAAGAAGGTTCATCGATGCTGTAGATGCGCGTCTTTTCAGTACACCACTTATTATTTACTGAATAGTAGTGCTAAGACCGTCAGCGACTTCCAACTTCTCTTCATTGTGTGATTCGTGTGGGCTAACTTAACGCGCGGCTCGGCTTCTCCTCATGCGGACGAAATGGGGACTTGGCGAAGAGGCCTCGGTTGCTGTAGCGGGCTTCGCCGATTTCGCACGATTTCGCTGATCCTTCTGCCATTCATTCTGCTCGTTGGTGGCTTTTTTTTTGCCACGGGTGTACAGTGCAAGAAAAATGAATGTTCCAGCACCGTTACAATCTCCTTCATCACAGTGACATTTACCTGCCTCCTCCGCGTGTTTTGGGCAATAGGCGCAGCAGCAGCTCAAGCTGCAGCCGCTGACGCGATAACCGTAGCCGGTTCAGCGCAGGACTTGTCATCTTTTAACGATAGCGAGAAATCAGCTTGTAAGGAGGACGACGTTCCTGGGAGAGGGGGGAGCAGCCGAGATGCTGCTGCGCGAGAAATAAGCAGGCGACGAGGAGTATCAGGGAGAGCAGGAAGAGGAGGAGGAGAAGGAGGGGGAAGAGAAGGAGGAGAAGGAGGGGGAAGAGAAGGAGGAGAAGGAGGGGGAAGAGGAAGAAATCAAGCAGGGGAAAGTGGAGGCGACGTGGGGATCAGTGGCTGAAGAAGTGACGCGGACTCGGATGGCGACGAGCTGCAGGCAATCAGGCTGTCCACCTCGCTGTCTGGCGGCGCGAACAAGTCCGAGCGACAGGTGCTTATGAGTCCTCCGCCCTCCCCCTACCCCTCTATCGTTCCCTCCCCCACCAACCCACCCAACCTGTGCCTCTACCATGCTCGTGCGTTCAGGGTCGCTACCATGTGTGGATGAGGAGCAGTATGGCCCATGTGGTAACCCTGTTACAAGTGTGTTTCCCCCTGGTCTGTCTGATTCCCTGTCATCAGCGTCGCTACCGAGCGTGGGTGCGGTGGAGAGGTGGGCCATGTGGTAACCCTGTTACAAACGGGCGCAGCTCTTTTCCTCACTGTCGCCATCGTCCAATCAATGCTGGACTCCCAACTACCCTCATGCCCCTTGAAGCGTATGTCTCCTCCCTCCTATCTAATTTAACCTGACTTCTTTCTTCTTTCTTCTCCTCACTTGCAACTCCACTCACTCTTCCCTTTCCCAATTCCCCTCCCCCTCCTTCTCCTATTACCCCTCCCTTGTTATCCTCATTCCAGTGGGTTACCAAGGCCCCTGGACCTACCTTCTACCACTGGCTCTCTTCGTCCTCATTGGCAGTTGGATCGCTGTCGGTGGGCAGTGCTTAGCTGGCAGCGACGTGCTGATGTAGCGGTCGTTCTATGCCATGCGGGACCGCGCGTGGCGGGCACATTACCGGGAGATGTTTAACTGGAGCATCCGAGAAATTCTCTGTTGCATGGGGCGCGCTACACCTTGGTATGTACATGAATACTCACTGTATATTAAGAAAAGTGTTACATCAGTATTACATGCTGTAGTGTACACTACAGGGAGATGTTCAACTGGAGCATTCGGGAGATCCTGTGCTGCATGGGGTATCGCTGCTGAGGGACTTTTGAGTCGACTGAAAAGTCACCTCTTTTGAGTCGACTCAAAACAAAACTCACCAACTGGAGCATTTGGGAGATCCTGTGTTGCATGGGGCAATGGTATCGCTGCCGACGGATGGTGATGGTGATTAAAAATGCCTCAGCCAACCCCCTTCTTTCTGCCCCTTGCCCCTGTCTTTCCCCTCCTCTTGCCCCAGGGACGAGGTAGACGACGAGGTGGACATGGTGGCATCGCTGCTGGGGGATGTGATGATTATAAAGAGTGCTCCTGCCGCTTCATCATCTCTCCCCCTCTTCTCTCCCCTCCCCTCTCTCTCGTCCTCAGGGACGAGGTAGACAATGAGGTGGACACAGTGGCATCACTGCTGGAGGTGGCGACTGAAAATGCATCAACCTAACCCCCTTCTTTCTGCCTCGTGCTCCTGACTTCCCCCTTTCTCTCTTTAGGGACGAGGTAGATGACGAGGTGGACATAGTGGCGTCGCTGCTGGGCGATGTGATGGCGTACAGAGCCGTGGGGGCCCAGTCACCTGGAGCTACTCGCAGGTAATGGGGCTGACAGGTCATGTGATAGTGAAGGGAATGGCATGTGCTAGCCAGAGAGTTGTCACTGCTGCTGGGGGATGTGATGGCATACAGGGCTGTGGGGGCCAGTCATCAGGAGCTCCTGGCAGGTGACGGCTGATGATGGCATGGGCTGATACTTGATGTTAGATGGCTCATGCCACCTATACCCCATGGCCGACCATGTTGTGACATGCTATTCTATACAGTACCATGCTGTACCAAGCCATGCCAAGCCATGCCATACCAGCCTTGTCCAAGCCGACTTGCTACTGCCACACCACACTGGAAACCCCCAGAACCACACCACCTCACATCAAACTATTTTTGCTGCAGGTGAACAGACAAACCCACTCCAACCGCTCTGTCTTCTGTTCTTTCCATGCAGGGCTAGCTCTTTTTCAGGCCAATCGCCCGCCACCAGCTGTCGATGCCCCCACCTCCTTCTCCCCCTCCTCTTCCCAACCACCCACCTCAACGTACTGCCATCAACCACCGCTGCCACCCCCCTCTCCTCCACCGCTGCACCCTGTCTTTGACTCCCTCAATGCTGCTACCACCACCACCACCACCACCAGCACTGCCACCAACAACAATTTAGACAGCAGGCGTGGGGCCAGCAGGGCTTGCAGCGAGGGCAGCAGCAGTGAGAGGCTGGCAGAGGCATGATTGCAGCATGAAAGCTGGACTGCAGACACTAACTCAAACACTTTTCCAATAACCAATCCAACCAGGACCAGAGATGGTAAATCCAGATTGTATCTGGAAATTTATCGGTACCTGAAAAAGCCATTCCCACAAAGGCACGATTGCTACGGTATATCCTTGAAAAGCATCAATCCAGAGCCCAACTGAATCAAGCGGAATCAGAGTCACAGTTGTCTTGTCTCTTTGTGAACTGCGGGTGAGCAGTAGTTGAAGAATCATTTAAAGTAGGTAGATTCAGGGTCACCTTTGATCTTGTCTGGGTACGCATGGATCCAACTCCTTAACTCCATAAACCTCTTCATTTTCTCTGGCGGAGAAAGCGCCTTCACAAGTTTCCCCTCCTCTCCGAACCCATGTGACCCAGTGGCGTTTGCATGCACTCTCACACACCTGTCGATCCGCCGAGCCTCGTACTCCCGAACCGCAGCAGCCACGGCAGCAGGCTCGGCAAACACATCCTTGACGTCAGCAAGGCACATGAACAGCTGGTGTGCATCTTCAAACGCCATATGAGCTCCTTGCCTTGGGCCAGTGTGCATGGCATGTGCAGCATTCCCCATAAGAACAACCCTGTTACCACACTTGGGATCACTCCAAGAATCCTTTGGAGGAGGCCTGTCCATCATCCACCGCTCGTAGATGTTACCAGGGTTGGTCGTGGTAACCGCCTGAAGCACGGTATGCCAGATGTGTCAGAGGTCCACTGGTGATCCCCGATCGATCCTAGGGAAGGGTTACAGTGTCAAAATGAAGAATGGATGATGCATTGATGTTGGTTGGGGTACATATAGCTAACCCTAAGTTTTGTACCCCCTAAGACAAACCTCACTATAGGCTACAACATTTGACACACCCCCATAGCCTAAGTGAGGGGTGTCTAGCAGAACCAAACGAGTACGGTCACAAGACCAGTCCAAGAAACGAAGCTCAGGGTGGATCACAACGTCACCACACAGTCTGAGCACTAACAACGGTGGCCACAAGGCCAGTCCAAGAAGTAACAGAGATATATAGAAAGCAAAGTAAACAGTACACTCAAGTCTAAGCAACACGAGAACCAGTGTCAACAAGGCCTAACTGCACACAGCACCTCTGGTGGTCACAAGGCGGAAGCGCCTTGGTGAAGATGTCTGCAGTGTTGGCCTCGGACTCCACAAACTCAAAGCGAGCCTGTCCACGCCTCTGCAACTCTCGCAGAAGAAAGTACCTGACGTGAATGTGCTTCACTCTGCTCTCCAGTCGTGGCTCTCGACAAAGGAGAATAGACGCCTTGTTGTCAGTGAACAAGGTCGGTGCAGAGCTCGGCCGCTCACCAAGGTCGGTGAGCAAGAACGTCAACCAACGCAGCTCTTGTGCCGCCATGGCACCAGCGTAGATCTCAGCCTCAGCTGTAGAGGTCGAGACCGAAGAGGAGCGCGTGGACCGCCAGGAAACAGCTCCAGAACCCAGGCTGAAACAGTACCCCTGAGTAGACCTGTGAGTCTCAGCGTCGTCAGCGTAAGAAGAGTCACAGTGACCAGTAAGTACGACAGACTGCTGCCCTCCAAGAACTAGCCCCACGCCTGATGTCGTCGCTAGGTACTTCGCCACCCTCACAGCTGCTGTCCAGTGAACAGGACGGTGTCTCCCTGGTGCAACAAAGCGCGCAAGAACGCTGAGAGGGAAGGCGAGGTCCGGGCGAGTACAAGTCATCAGGTACATGAGGCAACCCACAAGCTCTGCGTAGGGACCATTAGGCTCGAACGGCTCGTCAGGGAAGGGTCCAGTGAGTCTGTGGTCAACAGCAAGAGGTGTGCGCTGTACTGTGGAGTGCTGAAGCCCGAACCGCTGAAGGACCTGCTGCACCATGTGTGACTGTGAAAGTGTAATGGTGCGAGCAGCTCTGTCCCTGGTGATCTGCAGACCAAGGTAGTGGCGCAGCTCACCAAGATCAGTGCAGGTGTGTCTCTTCTGCAGTTCGGACTTCACGTGTGCCAAAGCAACCCTGTCAGGAGTGGCGAAAACAAGGTCGTCAACGTAGACCAGAACAAAGAAAGGTGTGGAGCCACGACGAACGAACAGCGACGGGTCGGCAGAAGACGGCTGGAACCCAAGGTCAGACAGGGTAGAACGCAGGGTGTCGTGCCACTCACGAGGAGCCTGACGAAGACCGTAAACCGGTCGCCTCAGCCTCCACTGGGTCCCAGGAGGGAAAGAGCCAGTGAAGGCAGAGGGACGACGCAGCCAGACCTCCTCGTGAAGACTGCCCTGAAGGAAAGCAGTAGAGAAGTCGAGAGAGTGTAACTCGTAGTCTCTCTGTGCTGCTACGTGTAGTAACACCCGAAGAGTGGTCATCTTTGGGGTGGGCGCGAAGGTCTGAAAGAAGTCAACTCCCTCGCGCTGACTGAAACCTCTAGCCACGTAGCGCGCCTTGAAGACCGGGGGAGAACCCGGTGGCCGCTTCACCCTGTAGATCCACATGCCGTCGACTACGTTCGCCCCAAGGGGGGGAACCTCATCGACGTAGGTGCCTGTGGATCTGTAGGAGGCCATCTCTGCGTCCATGGCGGCTCTCCACTGAGAGGCCCAAGGCCCTGACACTGCCTCAGCGTAAGTGCGAGGAGTCGGAATGTCAAGGGCGTCGGGGTCACCCTCAGGGGCGAGGAGCATGGCACAGAGATGAGGGGAAGCGGCGGCCAGGAACTCTAGCTCGAACTGCCTGTCCTCTAGGGCGTCACAGCCAAGGGCAGACACACCCCCGACGGCCAGAGGACTGGAAGGAGGAGCAGCCACAAGAGCGGTGGCGAAGTCAAGGCGGCGGGTAGAGGCAAAGTCAGTGACTGCGGCAGTAAGAGCGGACACAGAGGACACAGAGGCACGAGGGTGGGTAACAAGAGAGGCAAGAACACGAGAGAGAACAGGACGGTACGTGCGGTAGTAGTCAGTGACAGGAGTAGGAAGCGACGCAGTGAGGGCCGACTCAGGAGGAGACGGAAGCACAGACGGAGACGGACGAGGTGGACGAGAACAAAGGAAGGCTGTACGAAGGTCAGTGAAGGGAACAGGAGACGAGGGACGAGCACGAGGGGAGCGACGAGAGGCCCAAGTCTGAGAAGGAGGAGGGGACAACGAAGACTGAGAACGAGGGAAAACAGCGGGAGAGGGGTCAGGAGGAGGAAGCGGAGGACCAGAGACAGGAGGAGAGGGGGAGGAGGAAGGAGAGGGAGAGGGGAGACCAAGGGTCCGAAGACCCGAGACAGGAGGAGGAGACGGCAGCAGCTGCTGCTGCTGCTGCTGCTGCGGCTGCTGGATCTGCTGCGGCTGCTGCGCCTGCTGCTGCTCCAGCGGCTGCTACCCCTCCTGCTGCTCCTGCTGCTGTCGCTCCTGCTCCTCGAGCCGCTGCAACTCTCGCTCCTCTCTCTCCAACTCCAACTGCTCCTCACGAGCACGGCGAACACGAGCCTGGAACCTGGTCGGGTAGGGGTGGGGGGAAGGAGTAGTGTCCGGGGCAGCGGCAGCCCCAGAGTCGACCTCCGAAGCACCAGGCGCACCACCCCCAGAGGCAGCACCAACACCAGCTCCAGACCCAGGCTCACCAGAACCTGAAGGAGGCGCACCCTCACCCCCAGACGCAGCACCCCCAGACTCCGCACCAGCACCCCCAGACTCCGCACGACCAGTACCAGCCCCCGGAAGACAAGAGTCCTCTGCAACCCGCGGCTCAGCTCCAACTCCAGCACCCCCAGAACCAGAGACCTGTACAGGGACAGTCGCAGGACCAACCTCCCGAGAGGGAGCACCTGCAGGAGGCGGCGAGGAAGACTGTGGGGAGGGAGGCTGTACAGGGGGGGCTACCGAAGGGGGAGGGGTAGCCTGGGACACACCGGACGGGGCTGGACCAGGGGGGGGAGGCTGTACCGGGGGAGCAGGCGGGGGAGCGGCGGTCAGGAAGAGAGGGGGGGGAGGGACCGGGAGACCTCGACTGGGGTACCTGACGTAGTAGGGGGTGGACTCCTCGAAACGGACGTCACGGGAGTCAAAGAACCGGTGAGAGGGAGGGTGGTAAAAGGTGAAGTCAGAGGAGTCCTCAGGGAAACCAAGGAAGACACAAGGAACGGCGCGAGGCGAGAGCTTGTCCGCGGAGGTGTCGCGGACAAGAGCCAAGCACCCCCAGACACGAAACCTCGACGCGACACCAGGGGACCCTGTCCAAAGACTGGTCGGTGAAGCCTCCGGCCGAGAGACGCGTGGCCAGAGGTTCAGCTGGTGCGCGGCGTACCTGACCGCGTATGGCCACAGGAAATGGGGGGCACGGGCGTGAGTCAAGGAGGTGCGGGCAATCTCCATGACCAGGCCTCTGTTCGCGACAGAATCCAGCGAGAATGCCGGAGCGAAACTCACCCCCGCGGTCGGAGTGGAGACAGCTGACACGACGACCACGAGTGTCCTGGGTGGTAAGCAACCACCTGATCAGCGTAGAAGTCACCTCAGACTTCCTCGCCAGGGGGAACACTGTGGTGTAGCGGGAGTAGTCGTCAACGACCACCAAAAAGAAACGCTCACGCTCAGGGCCAGGGCGAGGAGAGGGGCCCCAGACGTCCAAGTGCAGCGTCTCAAAAGGCTCGGTGGCCGGACGAAGGGAGGAGGAGTGAGGGGTGGCGCGCAGCCTACCCTCGACGCAAGGACCGCACGGTGGTGCAAGGGACGGCGGCAGCGACGGCAAGACACGCGGGAGACCTAAGACAAGACGCTGACGAGACATAGCGCGAAGACGAGGAGGAGAAGGGTGCCCCAGCCGGTGGTGCCACAAAACGGTGGGGTGGGCAAGCGACCGACAGGAGCACGACGCAGCGACCGGACTAGACGGAGGAACCTGACAAGACACAGCTACCTGGGGGGACGGAGCAACCTGGTGAGACGCGAGGACTCGAACGGGGGGCAAAACAGGGGCCGGGGGCAGGAGGGGCGGCTGTGGCTGCGGCTGCGGCTGCTGCTGCTGCTGCGGCTGCTGCTGCTGCTGCGGCTGCTGCTGCTGCTGCTGCAGTCGCTGCTGAGCCAGCGGGCCAGTGTGAAGAGTGTAGAGACCGGAGCCCGGCTCAGCAGTAAAGGTGGCCAGCGGCTGGTAAGAGTCTCCGTCAACACACACCGCAGTCTCTCCGCTAAACCACACACCCACGTGCTGACTCACGAGGGGTCGCACGCCCACCAAGTTCCGGGAGAACGAGGGGACGTGAAACCCAGTGAGAGACCCAGAAGGAGCAGCCGGACACGGCAAGGTGGTAGTGTGACGCGCGGTGACTGGTCCCGAAGTGGGATCAGCCAGCGCCACAGAAACAGGCGCAGGAAGAGGCGTAAGTGTCGTGCTGTCACGAAAGAAGCAGTGAGAGGCTCCAGAGTCCAGCGTGAACGACAGCGAACCGTCCTCTGAGGTAGCCGCTGGACTAGAGTCTACACAAGAACCTACACTAGCAACAGGCAACTGAGCAAGGCTAGCACCTAAGCTAACAACACCAGAGTAAACAGAGTCAGAAACACTAGAGTCAACAACAGCATACATAGCATGGGGACTACCAATCAGATCAACTAACTGCTCAGCAGACATGCCCCACAGAGCGGAGCCGTAACGCTGAACAAGAGGCAGCCA